AACGGCAACAAATCGTGCTTCTTAGCACTGGGGCACCGCTTCCAGACAAAAGCAGCGGCAGCCAGTCGTGATTCTTAGCATTGGGCTACCACTTCAAAACCAAAGCAACGATAGCAAATCGTACATCTTAGCACTGAAGCATCACAGCAAAAGCATTTCGAGAGCAAAGCAACGGCAACAAATCGTATTTCTTAGCACTGGGGCAGCACTTTGGGACCAAAGCAACGGCAACAAATCGTACTTCTTAGCACTGGGACATCACTGCAAAGACACTTCGAGACCACAGCAACAGCCACAGATCGTACATCTTAGCACTGGGACACCACTTCGAGACCAAAGCACCGGCAACAAATCGTGCATCTTAGCACTGGGTCACCATGTCGAGACCAAAGCAACAGCAACAAGCCAGAAGCAGTGGGGAACCTTTTTGAAATCAAAGCAACGGCAACAAATCGTCCATCTTAGCGTTGGGGCACCACTTCGAGACCAAATCAACGGCAACAAATCGTATATCTTAGCACTGACACACCACCTCGAGACCAAAGCAACGGCAACAAATCGTACTCCTTAGCAGAAGGGGCACTACTTCGAGATCAATGCAGCGGCAACAAACGGTAGATCTTGGCATTGGGGCACCACTTCAAAACCGAAGCAACGGCAACGAATCGTACATCTCAGCATTGCAGCACCACTTCGAAACCAAACCAACGGCAACAAATCGTACATCTTAGCATCTGCGCACCACTTCCAAACCAAAGCAGCGGTAGCGAATCGTATACCTGGACATTAAGGCACCACTTCGAGACCAAATCAACGACAACAAAACGCACATCTCAGCATTGCCAAACGGCAACAAATCGTACATGTTAGCACTGGGGCACCACTTCGAAACCACAGCAACGGCAACAGTTCGTACATCTTGACATTGGGACACCACTTTGAGACCAAAGCTAGGACAACAAAACGTACATCTTGGCATTGGGGCACCACTTCGAGCCAAAAGCAACGGCAACAAACCATACATCTTAGCACCGGGGCAATACTACGAGACCACCACTTCGAGACAGAGCTACGGCAACAAATCGTACATCTTAGCACTTGGTCACCTCTTCGAGACCAAAGCAACGGCAAGCAACGAAAACAAATCTTGCATACTAGGACTTGGGCACCACTTGAAAACCAAAACAGCGGCAATAGACCGTACATCTTATGTCCTACCACTCATGGCTGCGACAAGCTTCATCGTGCAGACGCTTGTTTCTTCGGGCCTGCGATTGTTCACAGTGACGCTTCTTGCAATGTAGTTTTGCATGCAATGGAACTGAGAAGGATTGCTGTGCTGGTCGCGTGGCTGCAAGCATGCAGCGAAGACACCCACTAAACACTGCGGCTCGGCACTTGCGAACCGACAAAGTCGGATGACACAAGGTGGCACTTGCAGCTAAGCGAGCAGAAAAGGCAATACTGACATGCCAGAGAGGCGCGTGGAGGGGAGGTGGCGGTCCCCTTGAGAGCTCATGCATCCACGTCGTGTCGGACATGGAGTGTCATGTCCTACCACTCATGGCTGCGACAAGCTTCATCGTGCAGACGCTTGTTTCTTCGGGCCTGCGATTGTTCACAGTGACGCTTCTTGCAATGTAGTTTTGCATGCAATGGAACTGAGAAGGATTGCTGTGCTGGTCGCGTGGCTGCAAGCATGCAGCGAAGACACCCACTAAACACTGCGGCTCGGCACTTGCGAACCGACAAAGTCGGATGACACAAGGTGGCACTTGCAGCTAAGCGAGCAGAAAAGGCAACACTGACATGCCATCCCACCCCAGCCCAGGTAAGGCGGTCAACTGTAAGGGCAGAAGCTATGCTGCCACACGGAGGCGGGCCTTAAGGGCTCGCGCACATAACGCGATGACTGCGCCACTTGTGGCGGACACAACGTTGCCCAGCACATGCGTGAAAGTAGAAACACCAAGTTGCAGGACGGGGCATGTGCCATCGGGAGGCGTAGCCCACACCGGAGGCCGAAGCGCACTGTCCATTTGAGCCAGCGCCTCATCCAGTAGCTCATCAAACACGATGGTGAGGAGAGCGCTGCTGTGCCGGACGGCCACACGTATGCAGAGGGCAAGCAGCTTGCTGAGCAGCAGGCCGAAGGCAGGCCGGAAAGTGAGCACGCAACAGCCCAGAGCCAGCGCAAGCTGTACCTTACGCGTTTTCGAGAGCTGCCCCGTGCAGCCACACCCACAGCAGCGGCTTCCACGAGAGCTGGCTTTGGGGTTAGGGATGGGCCTATATGGCACAGGGTCAGCTTCCAGAACTGCCTGGGCTCCACGAGGAGACTCGTGAGCTGTCAAGTGCTGTAGCGCCGTCTTGGCCCTGGCATACTGGTGGAATGCCGGATCCGCGGCGTACCGCTTTGCCGCTCTCCTCACAGCTTCAACTTCTACTTCACCGTAGCGCTGGCCCCTCAAGCTCCCAGCCGAAACTACTCGGCTGCGGAATTGCCGTTCCAAAGCCTGCATAGCTTTCAGCTGCCGTGAGTGCCAGCTGCCAGCTTAAAGAGGCCGGAGGCTGCCAGAGTGCCGGCTGTGCCACGCGCCGGGGAAGCGACAATGTGCTCAGTGCTGGGGGCAAGGCATTGCGAAGCCAGGCCTGAGCCCATGGCTGCAGCCGGGCTACCAACTGGAAAGCCACTGCTTCTTGCAAGTAGTTGTTCAAAGACCGTTCTATAGTCCAATGGCCCAAAAACCGCAAAGTTGAGACCTGTAATCCAGCTTGGAATAGGTACATAGCCCCAGCTGGTCGTAACGAACTAAGCCCGAACTTGCAAGAGCGAAGCTTTAAGTCGCCTAACAGCTCATTCAGCATCGACCTGAAAAGAACTTGACTGTATGCCCACAGCGGCTCTAGACTTGTGCGCTCACCACACAGAAGCGCCAGCCAACGAGAAGCATTTGGATTGCGTAACAAAACGAACTGTTGATAGCCCATCTGTCGATGATTTTTGGGGCGCTGCAATCGAATGGCAGCTGCTCCTGCATTCATGGTTATTGAACCAGGCAGGCTGATGTCAGCAAACGTCAGTTTGAACATTTCTCCTGGGCGAAGCAGGCAAAGAAACCCTATTTCGGCTAATACGGCGAACATCCACCACCGAGCGCGGGCATCACCCCTAGAGTTCAGCCCCTTAGCCCTTGCCAAACCCACTAGCACAACCCAAATACCTACAGGCATCGGCGGCCTGAGACTGCTAGCACGAGACTCTTCCCATGCTTTCAGGGTGCTCCAGGTTTCAACAAGCTGTCCGCGCAGGCGCGGTTGAAGCGCTTGGCATGCAAGAACTGCGTGCTTGGCTGTCCACAGTGCTCCCCGATTTCCTGTGGCATGTTGTGTCACAACGAAGCGGTGCAGGCAATCGTCCAACAGTTGAGAGCTGGACAACACGCTTACAAGCGAAAGCGGATGCAATGCCGGAGGAACTGTTTGAAGGCGAAAAAAGCGCGGACCAAGCGATGACGATAGGCTTGGGAGTAACAAGACAAGCGTATTTCGACACCGGACACAGCAGGTCGTCTCATGCTTCCAGTGCGAGAATTCGCCATACAGAGACTGCTCAGCCTCACCTGAAAAACTACTGATTCCTGCTGCAGAATCAAGCTAGCTTTGAGCAACTGCAAGTACACAATGCTAAACTTGGGCAACTAGACGTGTTGAAGAGTGCGATCTAGACCGCTTGGGCGGTGCGTTCGAAGTGCCATGGATGATTCGGTCCCAATACTCAGCACGAGACCAAGGCAGCTGAAGCTTCATTGACACGTCTGACTGCAGAAGTTCGCGTGTTTCTTGGAGGGGTGCAGGCGGGGGTACGGCTAGGCCTCTACAAGGGTAATCGGCAGGATTAGAATATGACTTATCCACATATTAGTAATTCATTTACCTCCCGCTATTATTCATACAAGACACGAGCGCAAAAGCCTCTTCAGTTTGACAGAAGAAATGCGCCATTTAGCCCATGCACCGGCTACGACTCTAGAATCAACCAGGTTACAAGTCCTTAAACTGCATGGGCAACGATGCACCAAGTCCTTGAGCTCCTCCTTCACCATACGCATCTCTAGCAAGTTGATGTGCGAAGATTTGTTATATCGAATCCTATGAGTCTCGATCTACCTATGCTGCAGCAGAACTTTCTCAATGACTGTAGGGCACATATCCATGGAAGATGGCGGCACTACCGGGACAAGGCTCCAATCTAAACGCGAATACTCGCCATTATGAACCCCTATCCTATAGAGCAATTGTGCAAAGGCCGGGCTTATGAGAGCACAGGTTCGCCCTCCTCCGCTGAGGTTGGCATCAGTGCAGGAAATTCGGGCTGCTACTGGCACACGGATGTTCGCGTGCGAGACTGGCAAAAGGAGAGCTGCTTGCAACAGTTCTTCCTTCATAGCACAAGGCAATTTTATTGGCTTGGACCCCTCAGTTCGGCTCATGAACTTGTAGGTCCTCGAGAATACAGACATGCACAACCGGTTGAGGAGGAATAGGTGTACGAACAGACCTGTCACCTTTTGCATGGCTTTCAACGAAACGAAGTCCAAGCTGACAAAAGATTCTACCAATTGCAGAATCTGCTGCAAGCGCTCGTACGGAGCACCAACACGGCCTGAACGTGAGCACACTTCAGTCCCCCAGGCTTTGAAGGCATATTGTTTGGTAAAAGCTTTCTTGGCAGAAACTGGTAATCGTAACTTGGTATACTACCTACGACTCCTGATCGAAGTTATTTTCTCTAAGTCCAGTTTTTCTACAAGGCAAAATCTGAAAGATCATATGGTCATCGATATATAGCTCCTCTAGAGTGCTTGTTGCTGGGATGATCTTATTGATTTCTAAAGTGTTCTCACGGCTCATACACTGCGCATCGGCCAAGATCTGACGGTGCACTTCTTGGGCTATATCGACGACATTACAATCCCCCATACACAAAACCTTAAAAGAAACCACATATTCAACCCCCGATATGAGCCGCATATCCGGCAAGAGCGCGCCGTCAAACTCACGATCAAATACGTTCCTGGGGATCCACGTAGGAAGATGCCGGATAAGATAAAAGTAATTAGATAAGTCGTTCCCTGAATATCGTAAGGAGAACCCTTCCGGAATGATCAATTGCGTTAGTTGCGAGCCATTGGGCAATCTGACCCAAATAAGCCTCTTCTCTCGGATATTGAAGGGCCGACGGTCATTTATTAGTCTATCAGATTCGGCTTTGTGCGGCATAGCAAACAAGTCCCCTGACACTAATTTACCGTTTTCATACAAGGCCTCAGATGCTAGAATGAAAGCTATCATATTTGCATCGTGCAACCTTCTGAGAAGCTGGGGCATGGATTTCGGCTTGACTTTGTGGCATGCTTTGATATCAGGGACACCCAACAAATTCTGAGGTATGTCAGACGGCATCCGTACGAATGCCTCGAGCTTCTCCCCGCGCAGGATCTCTTCGGGCTTCAGAATGCCACCCGAGCTGGGCAGCGATACACGGTTTGGATCTAGTGTCTGGGCTTGCGAGGCGAAGCCGTCTAAATCTCCTTCAGAGCAGTTGTCGTATTGCAAAGAACGAATTCGAGATATTAATTCATTAAGCTTAGCAACGCCTCTATAACCTACGTCTGGCTTCGGTTGGCGGCAGAAAACTCAGACTTCATTAAACAAATTCGTTGCGTAAGCCAGATGCACAGACGATAACGGGGAGTCTCTTCCTCGCAGTATGGCTACAGATACAATTTCGGTTGACGCCGGACTACTACATTCGAAGAAGTTGACCAAACACCACAGCTGCTGGGTCCACACTTGAACCTGTGCTCGGCCTCGTCTTCGCTGCCTTCTACGACCTGAATTTGCAGATTGCGTCAAGTCTGCAAATCAGTGCCATGGCAGGATGGATGGAAAAAGTTTTGTGCTCTCCGCCTCGTGTGAGACGGATAAATCTGCCCGGAGTCTCGAGCTAACAGATCGATATTCTCGCCAGAATCTTCCAAAGGATCCGGATGAAGCACTGACGAGCTCAAGAAGGTCCTTCTATAAGGTCGCTCTCACGGGTTGGGCTGGCCTTTCTGCCCGCCCTTGCCTCCCTTTGGCTTTCCCTTGTTCGGCTTGTCGTCGGTCTGCTCCTCGTCCTCGTGCTGCGCTCCGTCGAAGAACCGTATCTGACGAGTCTTCTTCTCCAAGTCCTCCAACGCCTTGACGAAAGTTGCGACGACCTCGACCTCCTGAGTTTCTCCATCCCACCGTCTCCTCTGAAATGGGTCCTCTATATGAGTGAGCAATCAAGCGAGGACCCATCTTCCGTTGTCGAGGCTGCACTGGTGAACCGCTCGGAGGCTGAGCACCGTCTGGAAAACGGCCTTTTCGAAGCGATTCTGCAGCATCAGGCGGAGGATCTCGTGCAGCAGGACGTGCACTCTCTGGAGTGTTCGCTGCTTCCCCCAGTAGATTTTGCGTGTGTAATCTACCAGGCGATAGGAGATGTCGTCTCCGTCGCCTAGTTGCTCTTCTACCTCTTTCAAGTAGCGTCGAGCATGCTTGAGTGGGTGCTTGAACATGCGACGCTTCGAGTCGTGGAACTGCCGGAGAGCCTTGGCGGCATCCTTGTCCTTTGCAGAGCGGCTGTCTCGACCTCCCGAACTCGAGTTCAAATTGAAGCGGAGCTTGAAAGATTCCTTTTTCGAATCTTCTTCTTCTTCGGCTTCAGGACTTCCAATACTTTGAGAATCAGAAGGATCTTGAGAGGGTCGTCCGCCGAACCGGCGGCCGTCGAACTGGCCGTTTGCTGCAACGCAGTCTTCAAGTCCTGGTGGTCCTCGTCCTTCTTGCGGCTGCTCCCTGTCGACAGCAGCGGGTACCGGCTTTGACCCTTCGTGGCTTTGTCCAGTGTTGAAGCAGCGAGTCCTCGTCCTCTGTCTGTAGAAGAAGCGCCAAGCTTCCTTTGAGCCCGAAGCAACACTTTCACGGGGTCTTCTTCGCCTGAACCAGAGTCTACACTTGAAGACTCGTCGTCCACCCCCTCCTCGAAGTCGAGAGCAGGCCTCTGCTGCGTCCTGACCGAAGCACGGGTCGCTGTAGGTTTGGGGTTGTCTATGTCCTCCGACGCGGTGGCAAACACATGCTCTTCGCTGGTGTCTGCAAGGCAACTCTCCAGGAAAGAACCCGCCTGTTCTACGAGCTTTGAAGCCTTCATCTCTAAAGCCAGATGGTGCTCGGGACACGCCGAAACAAGTTGTCGGGCACCGCCTGCTACTAATATGAAGTGGCGTTTGTTGGCATCGAAACCGAAGTAAGCAGCACAATGATGGCGCTCGTCCGCAGTGATTCGTACTGCAATCTTGAGCGCTCCATCCGTAGCGCGATCGACGACCACTCCCTGCCGCCATTCCGGATCGAGTTTGGCATCGGCCAGTTTCAGGTATCCTGTGTCGCCCACCTTCATGTTAGGCGAAGGGCCATGGCCATCTACCCCCCCTTGAGAGCTCATGCATCCACGTCGTGTCGGACATGGAGTGTCAGCACTGGGGCACCAGCTCGAAACCCAGGCAATAGCAACCGTTTCCTCCACCTTAGCATTGGGGGCACCACGTCGAGACCAAAGAACGGCAACAAGTAGTACTTCTTAGCAATGGGTTACCACTTCAAGACCAAAGCCGTGGCAACAAATCGTACACCATAGCATTGGGGCACCACTTCGAGACCAAAGCAGCGGCAACAAATCGTACGTCTTAGCACCGGGGCACTTCGAGACCAAACCAACGGCAACAAATCGTACATCTTAGCACTGGGGCAGCACTTGGAGACCAAATAACGGCAACAAACCGTACATATTATCGATGGGGCACCACTCCAAGACCAAGACAACGGCAATACATCCTAGCACCGAGTCACCACTTCAAGACCAAGGCCACGGCAACAAACCGTACTTCTGAGCACTGGGGTACCACTACGAGACTAAAGCAACGCCAAGAAATCGTACATCTTAGCATTGGAGCATTTCGACACCGAAGCAACGGCAACAAATCGTACATCTTAGCATTGGGGCACCACTTCGATACCAAAGCAACAGCAACAAAATCGTACATCTTAGCATTGGGGGCACCATGTCCCAAAGCATCGGCACTCCGTGACCAAAACAACGGCCACACATCGTACTTCCTAGCACTGGGGCACCACTTCGAGACCAAAGCAACGGCAACAATTATTGGGGCATCACTTCAAGACCAAAACAACGGCAACAAGTCGTACATCTTTCCATTGGGGCACCGCTTCGCGATCAAAAACGGCAAGAAACGAAGTTGTTGTGCAGCAGGATATTATTTTGAGATCCAACTAAAAGCAACGAATCGTACATCTTAGCAATGGGGCACCACTTCGAGACGGGAGCAATGAAAACAAGTCGTACTTCTTAGCACTTGGCACACAGTTCGAAACCAAAGCAACGACAGCAAAATCGTACATCTTAGCAGCGGGGTATCGCTTTGGAACCAAAGCAACGGCAAAAACTCGTACAACTCAGCACCGGCGCACCACTCCGAGACCAAGGCAGCAACAACAAATCGTACAGCTTAGCACTGGGGCACCCCGTCGAGACCAGAGCAACGGCAACAAATCGTACCCAATGCCCGTAACAAGTCGTACCCCCTGTCTCGTGGTCGATATCACAAGATGCAGGACCCAATGCCCGTAAAAAACCGTACCTCCTGTCTCGTGTTTGATATCACAAGATGCAGAATCCAACGCCCGTAACAAATCGTACCCCCGGTCTCGTGGGTGCTATCACAAGATGCAGAACTCAATGACCGTAACAAATGGAACCCCCTGTCTCGTGTGTGATATCACAAGATGCAGAACCCAATGCCCGTAAAAAATCGTACCCCCTGTCTCGTGTGTGATGTCACAAGATGCAGAACCCAATGCCCGTAAAAAATCGTACCCCCTGTCTCGTGTGTGATATCACAAGACGCAGAACCCAATGCCCGACCCCATATCTGGTGCGTGATATCTTAAGATGCAGAACCCAATGCCCGTGATAATCTGTCACAAGATGCAGAACCCAATGCCCCGTAACAAATCGTACCCCTTGTCATAAGATGCAGAACCGAAAGCCCGTAACAAATCGTACCCCCTGTCTCGTGTGTGATATCACAAGATTCAGAAACCAACGCCCGTAACAAATGGTACCCCCTGTCTCGTCTGTAATATCAACAGATGCAGAATCCAATGCCCGTCACAAATCGTACCCGCTGTCTCGTATGTGATATCACAAGATGCAGAACCCACTGCCCGTAACAAATCGTTCCCCTGTCTCGTATATGATATCGCAAGATGCAGAACCCAATGCCCGAAACAGATCGTACCCCCTGTCTCGTATGAAAAGATGCAGAATCCAACGCCCGTAACAAATCGTACCCCTTGTCTCGGGTGTGATATCACAAGATGCAGATACCAATGCCCGAAACAGATCGTACCCCCTGTCTGGTGTGTGATATCACAAGATGCAGAACCCAATGCCCGCAACAAACCGTACCCCCTGTCTCGTTTGCAATATCACAATATGCAGATTCCAATGCCCATAACAAATGGTACCCCCGTATCGTGTGGGATATCACAAGATGCAGAACCCAATGCCCATAATACATCGTACCCCAGGTCTCGTGTGCCAATAGTTCAGGTTCCGTGAATGGGCTAGTGTCAATGGGGGCCGGGGGGAAGATGGGGTCAGAAGGGAGTTCTGGAAGGGTTCTATGGTTCCAGACTTTGGTGACTAGCCATAACGTCGGGTTTAGCTGCTTTAGTGGACATCTGGCCATTGGGTTTGCGAATCCCTTGCGTTCGTGGCGTGTATAGTCCTTACGTAGGTACTTGAGAGTGGACCATTGCTTTGAAGGGGGGCCTTGAGAGTCTTGGAGCAGATTATCGCGCAAATGTTGTCTTTTGTCTTTACGGGCGCGCCGTTTAACGGCTTTCCGGAGTTTTTGCAGAGATTCACGGTCTTCTGGAGAAGTCGAGGAAATACGATCGATAAGGCGTTTGGTAGGTGTTCCGACAGGTACTCTTTATGGTAGGTGCGTTCCTGTTTCGTGCGTGGCGCTATTTTCAGTGCAGCTTCCTGGAGTGCGGTTGCTTGTTCCTGTACTGAAAGTTTCTCAAACAGGGGTCGGGTGGAGATGCGTATGGTGTCGCTCAACGGAAGTCGGATGGGGTAGGAATGTCTGCCAATCGTGGAAAAAGAGGTTACGCCTTTCTTTGCTAAAGCATCCGCTCGTTCGTTTCCGTCGTGGCCTGAATGTCCCTTGATTTTGAGAAGCGACACCGTAATTCGGAAGATAAGGTGACCCATGAGGATTCGTATTTTGGTTAAAAGCTGAAGATGTTGGGTAGGTATGGAATGGCCACGGGGAAAATCGTAAGCAAGTTGGGAGGCGGTGTAAATGTTAAGGGCCGAAATCGAAAAATGAGTTTTGTGTCGAGCAATAAACAAAGGCCTGGAGTTCGGCGGTATTGTTGGAGCCCACTACTGGGAAATCTAGGTTGTGGCCCACTGGGCCCCATGAATCCGTCCAGGTGTTGCGCTGATAGAGTGTAAAGCCCCAGCCGGCTGGATTGCAAAACCCGAATGTTATATTGGTCGGGGCAAGCCCCGTCTGTATAGATGCAGGGCACGCCCGATACAGGTGCAGCGCCTAGGATGTGGACCGGTTGTTGCGTTATTTGCGCAAAGGCTTCCGCGAAGTCTCTCTTAAAATTGAGTTGATCTTCTTTGGTTCGAGGGGGTGTGATTTTAGGCGGCGGGGGCTTAGGAGGCTTTGGAACCTGTCAAATGTAATCGTAAATAAGAGGGGATAGTGTCGATGAAACCACGGCAATTGCCATTGGGTCCTGGTGGCCGCGGCTTTGATGTTGTGTAGTGATGTCATAGGCGCAAGGACATGGTCAAGGCAAAAGAAGTCTGTGTTTTTCGGGTTGTGTGGGAGACGCCTCCGGGGAGGAAGCTATATCCCGAGATGAAACAATCTGGGAAGCTGGTCGCGTGTGAAAAGTTGATGCGATCAAATAATCATTATGGACTAAAAAGTCCAGTAGCTTGAAATAGTTGGTGGTATACGTGTCATTTGCCGGGGCCTCGCTGACAAAAATAGCTTTGCCGATATGCGCCGAAAATGCTTCCAATTCCGTCGACATGATGCGTGCGTTAAGGTCTCCCACAAAAAGGATCATGGACGGGCGAGGGAGATTGCGATGAAGTTCTGGAAATCGTCGCAAAATTTGTCTTTTCGGGCTTCGTCGGCTTGAGGGTCCGATATTTGGCTTGGGGCATAGAGCGTTACGAGATGAGTCGGCACCGGTTGTGTACGGAGAGTCAGGACCGCTATGCGGCCCGAAAAGGGAAGGAAATCTGATACCAAAGGAAGGCGGTGGGCCGGAACATAGAATCCAACCCTTGCCATATGCTCTGATGGTGTGCCAGATAAAAGGAGCTTACCTCCTCCAATTCGACGTTCGTCTGAGGAGGTTGATTTGGTCTCCTGTAGAGCCAAGATGTCGATTGTCCATCGACGCGCGAGGCCCGCCAGGGCCTCCTGTTTTCCATGTCCCATTGAAGTCTCAATGTTGAAAGTGTAGACATGTAGTCTGTTGCACTCCGGGCGCCATGCTAAAAGGCGTGTTGGTAGGTTTAACAGCGAAGACTGCACGTAAGATCTAAAAAGATGGGCACGAGACCCAATAGTTGGCGCTGTGATCCCTCTGCCATAGGCTTTTTCGAGTTGGGCAGGGCTATTTCGGCTGTGGGGCCTGGGTTTGGTTTTACTGCTTTTTACGAGGTTTGAGTGATAACAGCTCCAAGTTGCACGAAGTATACACACCTTGGCTGTCATGAAGGACCAAAGCAAGAAGGAGGTAGCGATGGCGTAACACTGTGTGACAGCAGCGTTTTTGGACTGATCCCCACAGCCATTCCGTCATCGCTTGAGAAACGCCTTCTTCGTGGCGGGTTTCTTCGCGACACCTGTGTGAAACACCTTTGTGGCGGGCTTCTTTGCGACACCCGTGTGAGACGCCTTCGCGGCGGGCTTCTTCATCCGCCCTTTCCCCCAACCCGTCCGCTTTATCACCCCTTATTTGTAAGCCATTTCAAGCCGCGCACCATCGTTTGCATTGTCATTGTCGAGTAAAAAAAGCGAATGCTGTCAAAAAAAAGTGAGCATTGTCAACAAAAATGGAACCACTGTCGAAAAAAAGGCCCGCTGCCACAAAAAAACGGCCCGATGTATGTCACCCTAGCAATTCACACTTGCTGCGTTGTAATTTTAGAGTAATTTTTTGATCTTATGAAGATCTAGGAGTGGATCGCCGCGTTACGTTATTGGGATAGAGATTGATTTTTCTATTTTAAAGGGATCGATATTTCATTATTGGATTGATTTAAGAATGGCTCTA